TGTGTGTTTAATGGACCTAGCATCAGCAAGTGACTGGAATATATTCAGGCTTCCATGTCTGCATTCACTGAGGGATAAAACAGATGGATTTCTGTTCAAAGAATTGACATCTACAAGAGCAGTGTGAAGGGATTAGGTTATGACATTATTAATCAGTCTTTATGCTCCTGAAAAGATGCTACGATTATAGACCACAGAGTACTATTCCTTCCTTTCTCTATATTTAGAGAAGCATTCCTTTTATTTTTCATGTACATGGCATACTCTTTTTCTTCTTACTTACTGTCCTTCTAAGGTTCTTAAATAATAAAAATAAAATTAAAAAATAATTAGCATTATGAAATATCTATTTCAGGTTATAATTATAGGACATCAGGCTCCAATATTAATATACGGTTATTTTAACAGAAGAATATTACATATTAGGGTCTTCACTGCAAACTCCCTAGATTCAGAGACTTAAGGAGATGGCAAGTAAACATCACTAAATCTCTTCCTAAGAGCTGCAACAAGAAATTCACATCAACGCCTCTCAAAAATACATATTTAAGAAGACTGGGTGCTGTATTACACCAAATAGCACAAAATACTCCAATATGCTAGAAACAATAAGGAACAACTGAAAACTCCAATTGACTTGCCAACAAATCCATTAACAGTGGTTATAGTTAAACAGTGTTATAGTTTTAAATGGAAAGAAAAAAAGAAAATAAAAACAAGCTTTTCATAATCAATGAAGAGTAAGAAAATAATACTGTAAAGCATTTATTCTAATTTATTGCACTCATATTCACACACTCAGCGTGGCTGAAGGAGTCACACTGTCCACCACAAATTACTATTGAATTTGCTTGATCTGGGAACTCTCAGCTCACTGTTCCCCATTAGAAAGCCCTTTTTTTTTTTTCTTAATAACCAATTCAATAACTGCTGAAAAATGTTTTCTATGATATAGTACTGCCATAGATCTGATGTTTGTCTGCCATAGATCTGATGTTTGTCTCTATCATTACATACTGCATTCAATCAATTTACAAATGTTGCTGTGTTCCTTTTGTGCTAGTTCTCCTATGTTATGGCATCCTGAACAGAAATCCAGAGATCAATACCTTGTCTGCTGAAAAAAAAAAAAAAAAGACATAAAAACTGAATAATTTTATTTACAATAGAAGTTTTGGTTCCCAAATGGATTCTACTTATGTTCAAATTCATTTTTCATGTTCAACACAAGATGAAAGCAAGAACCTAGCACAATGCAATGAGAAAGGAGTAATGAAAAAAATCAGCCTGTATTTACTGAAGATGAGAGCAAAACCAAGCTATATCACATGAGTAGCAAAATACCAGTAAAATGCTAGGTTCTCCTCCAAGTATTTGTAGTCATACTAAAAGAGCAAAGAGCCCACATCAATGAGCAAATAGATTTCATTTAAAAAGAACTCTACCTTTTTGAACTATCAAAAAACCAAAACTCCTGAGTGAAATAAGGGAAAGAAAACACAACACTAAAGGCTTAGCTCATGCAGGCTGCATGTGCTCATCCAATTCTTGCCTTGTGCATTTTTGGTAATGTAAGTAATGCATTTGCTGGCTATAGGCATTAGCCTGCACTATTCCAGCTCCTGAATAACCAACTTCTCCAGGACAACTCTCTAATCATGGCAGATGTCATCAACAGATGACATGTTCACAATAATTCTTCATATAGCAGCAAAGTAATAGCATCAACAGAAACAGGAACTACATTTTTCACAGAAAATAGTAGTTAATATCCAGCTCACAATTTCCTCACTTCCAAGCTAACTGCTGCCACATACACAACATACATTCTTCCCATTTAATTCTTGGTTCCAGAAGCATCCATAAACATTACTGTAGCAAAATAACAGCATTTCTATCCTCTTTTTAAAAAAATCTCTCCCTAACGAAGACTGCACATACAGCAATGTACCTGGCCTCTCTAAAATAAGACAGATAAGAGACAGGACAATGCCATCTTTTGCTTGGAAACATATGCAAGAACTGAGCATGTAACGTACTCATCTCATATTTTCCCGGGAGTTGGATGCTTCATGTTTTCCAATAGATTGGTCAGGTGCCTCTGGGTCTTTCCCCTTCAGGTATTAGTAGTGTGACTAGGTATCCTGGGAACACATACACCTGTCTCCTACACATAGCTCACCCTCTCCATTCTGCGGTTGTGCCAAAAGAGGTAAAGGAATCTGCTACTAGCATCAATCAAACGAACGTATTTCATCTGGGGCAACAGAGGGACTGGTTTCATGCCAGATACCTGAATGAGATGTAATGGGGATACTGAGCCAGCGTATCTGCAAAAACTACTAACTCCTCTCTTAAGGAGATCTTTTTATGTGGGAGCTTATGTGTGCATGAAAAACAGTACACTCATTAGACAGAAATCTAATACAGGGAAGTTGAGGCAGTTCCCTCCAGGAGAGAACGAGAAGGTGCATTTTCCTTACCATAAATAGAATCTTCTCACTATTTCTACTCTTGGTTACTATAAGAATAGTTCAAATTTCAAGTGTCAAAGTGAATTTACAAGCCTGACAGCTAGAAAACAGAACTTTGTCATGTGTCAACTGAGCAAACATAGTTTGGCATTACTCAAGTCACAAACACTAAACTCCATAAGACCATTTTTACTGATTTCTTTTTTCAGAGGATAACTGAAGTATTTTAAAACTATTACTGCAATTTCACAACTGCTATCTTACGTTCCTTTTCAAGATGGAATTTCAACCTTACAAGTTAATTAAGGCCACCACCTGGAGTGAGATGGCTTTCAAGTTGATTTCCTTTGTCTCTCTAATTCACATGCATTAATATTTTATTTTGTACTGGAAAAAAAAAGTCACAAGTGTGCCAAAAACAAGGTGAATAAGATTATTGCAATAAAACAAAGAAAATACATTTGTTACTACCAGGTCTGGTGATGAATGGTGCCTTTAACAGACATTTTAAAGGCTTAAAACTGCAAACTAGCTCTATATTACATTTTAGCTTTTGCATCATGATATTTTAAATTTTTTCTTACTGTAATGAGAGAGGAAAAGTTGAGGGTTTTTTTTTTTTTTTTTTTTTTTTGAGGGGACTGGTGCTTTACTGCCTGAACACAGAAACAAAGACCACATTATACATTACATAAAACACATAAGCTATTAAAACCAATGTGACACCATAAAATATGCTGCAAGTCTCATTATGGAATAACAAAGCTAAACCTCAGCAAATAAACGTATCTGCCAAACAGGAATAACTATACAACTGGAGTTTATGATCTTCAATTATTTATAGAAAGAAACTTGTAATAATTAAATTTTAAAGGCCCCTTAAATTGTTACTTCTAGAACCTCACAAACCTTCAAAAGAAATATCTTTCATCTGAAAGACCTCTTATTTAACAGAAGCAATTGCTCATTTACCTAATTAATTGACAAAGTCATTCATTGTTGTTTTAAAATATCCAGAGTACACTGCTATATGCGTGGTCCAAGTGAGAGTGTAAATAGTTATGTACTGTGCATTTTGGTTCTCTGTAAATGATTGTGCTCTGTGTGCATGAAAAACAGTACACTCATTAGACAGAGCACAAATGATTGTGCTCTGATACCATCGTCAGATAGCTTTTAAAATATTTTGGCAGTTTGATAGAACTGTGAATCACACTGATTTACACCAGATACTTTAGGCAGGTTGCTGCAGGATCTCAGAGTTGAGAAGAATTGCTCATTTAATTGATTAAAACATACTGCTGAAATAGTAACACATGTTCGAAGTTTCTATAAAGTCTAAGTGTCTTTGATATTCATTTGTAAACAAATCATCTGACATTGGCAACAAAAACAAATAGCAATCCCATTCAAAATTGGGATACACAGAAGTTTTATCTTGAGTAACTATTTATGTAAGCCATGGGAAGAGTGGGAGATTCAGTATTTCAGGAGAAGAAAAAAAAATGTAGGTATAAAAGCTACTGAATTCAAAGCCATACTTGTTAGAAGTAACAGGAAACTAGAGAAGGAAATTAAAACTTTTGATAAATTCAACAATGCTTAATAAAAATTCAACACCTATTTTTACTCTGTATGTACAGGTATGGATTTTCTTTTACCAATATACATTCAGCCACTGTCCAATTTTCTTCCTGCTGAAGTCTTACCACGGGACCTCTACAAAAATGAAATGATTAGTATGAAATTCTTCTGAAAAGTTCCACCTCCATCCAATGAAATAAAGAGAAGTTACATAGCTAGAGATTTTTCACGGTGAAATAATATGCAGCTCTATGAAAAGGACTTCCTAGGGGGAGGTTGCATCTTACAGAACTGAGTTTCTGTAAAATTTCTAACTGACAGGATTCTTCAACTGAAACATTAGTCTTTTTCCATAGGAAACATATATATAACTATATATGTTATATACAACTATATAGTTATATATATATATAAAACTATACAGATAGTTTATGTAATCCATTTCTACCTAAATTAATCAATGCAATTTGAGTCCATTCCTGCCCCCCTCCAATGGTCTTCACACAAGATTTTGCCGCCATTTGACAAATTGTTTACATTTATTACAGTTCTGAGAAATTGAAAATTTTCCATAAACAAGTTACTATGTTCAAAAGGAAGTGGCATTATTTAAAGGAAAACAGGATGTGCTATTTAGCATAATATGAAATTTAAACGCCAGCACCTCAGATACACTTAAAAATCCTTTTAGTAGCACCTGGTTGTTTATACATCTTCAGTAGTGAAAAGGTCAATAGAAATTCACCTCTAAGGTCATAGTTGCTAAGCAACCGTTTTTGGAAGTTCTGCTACACCGATCAAGCATTTTACATTCCACTAGTTTCAGAATAAATTTGATTAACATCCTACCTGGCCTTCAAAACACGCAGTGGCTCCCCCTTTTCCAAGGAAGGCAGAATGGCCCACATGCGCTTGTGCCCGAGGCTCTGGTCAAAAGGATACGTCCGGGAACCACTGGCTTCCGGTTCACAAGAGCAAAGGACAGCTTGGTCTTCAGGAAGACCACAGAGGGCTTGATGAGATGCTGCCCAAATCTCAACATCATGAAAGCAAGTCTCCGGTATCTGAAAGAGAAAATCATTAAGGTGATTAAAAGATTGGCTTTCCAGCTCTTTTCAGATAAGAGAAAGATGACAGCTAAATTAGGAAGCAGAAAGAGCACTGAAAGAAAGGGCCTTCTTGACTCACCAAGCTGGAAAGCCTTTTCTATAGTGCGCAACACTTTCTCCAAGACCATCACTCCTTTAAAGCGATCATGTGACTTCTTATCAAACATTTTGCATGTAAGTTCCTAAAGCTTTTTCTAACTATCTTGGCTGGGCTATAAAATTCAAGACAGAATGCCATTTCTGCCTCTTACCGTCATTTTTTCTTTACTGTACACATTTGTGAACCCTAGACACTTGGAAAAGGCATGAATAATATTTCACAGGCATTTGTATGTTTCACAGTTACCACAATGCAAAACAATACAAGAAGATTTATGGAACAGAGACACTACATTTTCTAAACCAATCCCTCCAAGAAATACTTTAACAGAAGACATACAAACAAATTAAGAAAAGCCTATCAGTCACTCATTTTTAGTACATGCTTTCCAGTTTGTGCAAATGAAACGTAAAGAAGACGAATAGCTGTGTGCAATATTATAACTTAAAACGTTCAAAATGCCCATACTCATTCATATTTCCTCTTCTTACAGTGAGGGTGGAAATTCTTCTCGGATAACTAAGGTAGGTATTTTAGGTATTAAGGTATTTTAGATCTCAAGTCCTTGAATATTTAATTCAATGAGGAATATTCAAGATGCTGTAGGGCAAAAGATGAAATAATGATGTGTATTATGCAACAATACTTCAGACACATCCAAAGCACTACAATAACCTTACACCTGCTTTAAAACAAGCAATTAATGGAAAAAGTCAGGTTTGTAAGTTGCTTCAATGCAGGCGTAAAGCATTATTAGAATCATGTGGGAGTCTTTCACTATAGTCCTTTTCTTGAAAGTACAAGTTATTCAAACCACTGGACACAAGTTTCAACCCTTCGGTATGCAATTGTTTGCTTCCCAGAGTGTCTTTGGGAACCGAAATATAATTATTCTTGTAAGGAAGTTCTGTCTGCTTCACTAACTGTGGAAACAGCCACATATTCCCATAATACATATTCTGCAGTGAATCCAAAACAGGCACCATGTCTGATTTGGCAAAATGTTACCCCAGAGACGATAGGAAACACCTGAGAAAACTATGAAAGAGTGGGAAATGAGTCATTCCCACTTCAAAGATCTCAAAAGGTTTACAAATAAATGTTTATATATTTGGCCCTGTGGTTATTTTTTCCATAAAGCTAACAGAAGTTTAAGTGTCCATATATTAGACCTGAAACTCGACAGGATACAAAATTTGTCTCTTAGACTGGAAGAATCACTTCCCTGAGGAAACATCTGCTTTATCTTCTGCTAATGTCTGAAACAAATAATTATTATGAACTTTAAAATATCATTCTCATTTCTCTCAAGCAGCCAATCAGCAATCCCTAGGGAATCAGTTCTCATCCTGACTTTATACATGATAGAGAGACACAGTCCTCTGATCCATGAAGGAAACGCTCCTGATGCAAGGTCAGAACATGTGGAACAACCAGTACTGCCATCTGGTGATAAAACTAAGACAGGCGCTTCAATGGGTGGACAAACACCACATCACTTGCCTTTGTACAAAACACTGTTGGTTTTTTTTTCCTCTACCTTCCAGATGGCTGATAACTAAAACCTCTGCCCAGAAGACATGGAATATGCTTAAAACACTGAGCCAAGATTTTAAAATGCAGTTAATCTGGGCTAGGAAGGGAAGCAGCAGAACTTACCTCCTCCCCTCCGCCCTTCCTGATCAAAAGATAATTCAGAACAGGAGAACAAGGCCACAACTATACAAATTTCTACACAACTGCATGCAACCTGTCCAGCCCCTAGTGACCCTGTGGGCACTTTGCAACCCAACGGTATTACTAAAGGAGACAGGTCTCCTTGGGATCTTTACCATCATTTGCACTTTGTCAGATCAGTGGAATACTCTAATTTAAATAAACTCTAAGCTGTGTTAGACATAAATTATACCCATTGGAGATACCTAAAATAAGACCAAAAAAACAATACTTTGTCCTTCTAGAGAAATATCTGCAGAAATTGTTTGCATCCTGGGTTGACATCCTGCTCAAATATACTCAATATTTTTACCAAAATAAACATATGCAGCAAATAGAATTTAGGTCAATAATTATATACTTATATATAAGTATATAAATATATGCTCTAAAAACACATATTCAGAAAATGCTAGGTGGATTCATTTGTAGAATCATTGGGTTACAGAATTGTTTAGGTCTTCATGATTCCCCTCTCTCATGTATTTTTATTTCAGTGTATTCATTTACTGTAATTTTGTCAAAAGGAACAGAGGAAGGTCTGGTACTAGTACAGTAGAAAAAGATGAAGTAATGGCCTCACAAAACTCCCTAAGCAAGAATCTGAAAAGCCAGGCTCAAGGTTGACTGAGAATTAAGAGCTGAAATCATCCTTAGAAGGTCTTACAATGCCATAGATCAAACCAACACATTTATTAAAATCTCTTACGTTTATTGACTATATCTGAATAGCCTATTTCCATAAATAGGCTATACAATATACCATAAATATGCATATATACTATATATAGCATAAATAAGTTATATAATTTAAACAAGTACATAGGTCATACTGGTTATATTATGCAACGCTGCAGACTTCCCATTTCCATGCGCTGCAATCTTGAAAGGGCATTGTAGAAATTATTTTTCATAAATAATTATTCATTACCTATTACACATCGCTTCAGCTGTTTTCTGTCCTACTGATTTTCTGAATTTTTCTGCAAAGCATGATATAGCATTTGGTGCACAGAACCAATAAAAAAATATGGAAATGAGTCATTGGTACGAACAGAAAAAAAAAAACATCTATGGCTGTGCAGCATCATAAAAGCAGCAAAGCTGGAGTGACAGAGTGTGGTGAGACAACAAACTCCCACCAGGCTACTATGCTTCAGTCACCTGAATTCTACCTGGCTATCACCTGAATGAACTGTAAAAAGCAGAACTCTATACAGTACCAGTGCATGCATACAGGTCATGAGAGGCAAACGGTGCATGCACCGTTTCCTCATCTCACTGTAATCTCACTAAGTCTGCTCCTCGGTGGATTTCAATTCTTCACTTAATGAGGAGGTCAGTACCGGCTTAAAAAAAAAAAAAAAAAAAAAAAAGATTCATCTTTTTCTAATGTTTAGGCACACGCAGAGNAGATGTGAGCAGGGAGCATTCCCTGGAGATGAAGAGGGCTGGGAGTGACAGGCTGCAGGAGAGAGAGAGGGGAAAAAAAAAAAAAAAAAAAGATTCTAAATATAATTGGTAAAAGATGCTTCTTGTTTAATGATAGTAGTCTTTCTAATCTCAGTAATAAGAAGGACAATTACATAGTAACACTAGAAGAGGAAAGAAACTCATTTTTGATAAAAGACAATTTCAGCCCTCTAACACAGTTTCTGTTCTGACTACTGAAAAAGTATATTTACTTTTCTTCATATTGTCCATATACATTACATTGCCTATTTCATCTGCCTCATTTTCTTAATTAAATTTCCTTCAAGTTGTATTCCTCCAGTTGTAGGTAAGAATATAATATTAAAGGCTAACATAGCAAATAGGGTAATTTTATAGCAACAGATGTAAAATCTGAATAGCTTCCACTAGAAAGAAATATACATTGGCATTTAAGGTTATACGCTAAAAACTGAAGTGTGCTAAAATTAAGAAAAAATATTGAGATGCTGAAACATTTTGAAACATATAATTTGCAAAATTTCAAGAATATGCATGTTGCATTTGCCCACATTAAAAAATGTAACTCATACATTAAAAAAAAAATCTGGAGAGTAGCCTCTGTTCCGTCACATTTGGCAGGGAGGTTTTTTTCTTCATTTCATGAGTTGAGCATATAGGATTTTTGGTGTCAAATACACATGGAAAGTTCTGAACGCAAATGTAACTCTCCTAACGTTAGGCCCCTAAAAAGATATGAAGTTAGGTATATGCTTGTTAGAAGTCACCTATATGGCCTAGAATACTTTTAAAAACTATTTTCTCTGTATTGACCATCAAAGCAGGTTTGCATAAGCAAAATCATATATCTAATGAAGAATAAGGGCTTTGAGAGTCTTGAGCAAACTAGACCTGATCTACATAATTCAACTGTCCACTTGCATGTCACAGTTTTTAAAAAAAATCTTGCCTATTATACTGAAATGTTTTATTATGTGTCTATCTTATATCAGAAAACAAGCATGAACTGAACACACAGCAATGACATGGGCAGTATCTTCTAAATAGAATCCCATTTCAAAACTTGAGTGCATAGAACTATTGAACTGAAGATTCATCATCTTCTCTGTTAAACAGTTTCATTTCCATTTTTTTCCTCATATTAGCAGGGATAATCTGAGACTGTTTCCTCCATCATCACCGTAGAATATAGTACCCAAAGAAAAGGCTGAAAAATAATAACTTCCCAGAATCAAAATACCACATCCGTGATCTTAAGATAAATGTCTTGTAAAATAGAATATAATCAATACATTCACCTACTTCTTGACTTCTACTGAAAAAGTACAAACACACTTACACAATAAAATAAATGCTATTCTCAAATCTCTCCTGAGTGTTAATCTCCTAGAAAAAAACACTGTATTTCAGATCCTCTATTTAATAATATGCACCCACAATTGTTATCCTGATGCATGCAGAAATCAGGCTTTTGGTTTTGCCTCTGCAAGTCAAATTCTGATGAACGAGACCTTTAGTGCTGTAATAACTACTGCGAGTAATGGAACAATCAATAGTTTTATTAAGAAAGAACACTGAATTATGTATTACCAACACTAAGATCTAGGGAAAGTACACTTTTATCAGAGAAAAAGGTATTAGTATCAATCATACCTTCAGCAAAAGTAGAAAAGTGAATGGCAGAAAA